TGTGGGGAAAAAAAGCAGAGAATAATCCCAGTGCACTATGGCAGCCCTACACTTACCCTTTCTCAATTCTGACTCCACTTTTAATTATTCGTTAAATATCTGTACTCCTCATTAGACTGTACTCCATGAGGACAGGAATTACCTCTGCCTCATTTACTTCTGTATTCCTAGCATGTAGGAAAGTGCTCAGATAGGAGGTATGAATAAATGTCATTTTTTTAATTACACATTAAAGTGAATGAAATTGAATACATTTAATAAAATAGATAATCCAGGAGTCTCATGATACTAATATGTGGGCATATATGTATGTGCACACACATGCATATCATGATTTTTAGTTTCTTAGGCTAAAATTAAAACTAATACCATTGCCTTAAGCATACGCTATTTGGATGCTAAGACAAGAGGGCCTTTGAATGAGGTTGAAATTAAAAGTCAACCAAGAACTAAGAACTCTCCACAAATAGGTGAGCAAAGCCATGAGTCATCTTTGTGCAGAGAATTGAGCCCTGATAATATCAAGGAAATAAATGATGAAAGCACAGCCTGTTCAGACAAGTGGATGCAGCATTCACACTGATCCAGGTGAAACCCCAAATAACAGGACTTCTGTATTTGAGATGGTTGAATGACCTACCAGGTCAAGAAAACCTTAAAAACAAGAAACCCTCACTTCAACCTTGGAGACAATATTAACTACCTCATTTAGGGAAGCGAGTCCATGCAGAAAAAACGAAATCAGATGCACCTTCCTTTCCTGGCTTTGCCAGTTTTCTAGAAAAGTTCTTTTGTCTGGTTTGTTTCTTTGTCTGTGAAAAGGGAATAATCATCCCTCATAGGGTGGTTGTATAAGGTAGAGGAGATTTATCTTCCTAAAGCCCCCCACTCAGAATGGCTGTCCACTTCCCTGTCTTGCAGGTAGCAGACCTGAGAATTTCACCTTTGCATTGGCAGTTCTGACATAATCTCATTTATGCTCTAATTTTTTACATCAGTGAAATGAAAATGACACGCTATATCTAGGATCCTGTATCTAGGATCGCTGAGAAGACTAGATGACATAATGTGCATGAAGCAGCTCTATGAAATACAAAGAACTAAAAAGTAGGGGTCAGCAAGCCACAGCCCACGGCCCAAATCCAGCCCATCCAACCTGTTTTTGTTTATTTGTTTGTTTCATGGCTCACAAGCTAAGAATGGCTTTTACATTTCTAAATGGTTGGAAAAAATCAAAAGGAGATGAATATTTCATGATGTGAAAACTATGTGAAATTCAAATTCCAGAGTCCATGAATGAAGTTTTATCGGAACACATTTGTGCTTATTTGTTTACATATTGTCTATGATTGCTTTTGCACTGCAGTGGCAGAGTTGAGCAGTTGTGACTGAGAGCATGTGGCCTACAAAGTTGAGAATATTTACTATCTGGTTCTTTACAGAAAAGGTTTGATTCCCCCTGACTTTGATATTGTGACAAAGGCCATAGAGATTTTAGGGGGGGGGGGTTTTGAGATTATTTAAAAAAATTTTTTAAGTTATTAGCAAAGTGCCTGCCATATAGTAAGGACTCGATAAACAGATATTGTTGTTGATGTTCCTTTATTTAATTATTAATTCAACAAATAATTACTGAGTGCATATCATGTGCCCGACACTGCTCCAAAGGCCGCAGAATACAGCAGTGAACATAACAGACAAAATACCTGTGCTCATTGGACAGACAAGAAACATGTCAGTGAAAGTAAGTATCGTATATTAAATGGCTGGGGAGAAAAATAAATGGATGGAAATACAGAGTTTCAGGATAGGGTTTGCAATTTTTAGATACAGTGGCCGGCGAAAAGATGACATGAAAAGATGATGAGGAGTAATGTTCCAGGCAGGGAAACGAATGCAAAAGCCCTGAGACAGAGAGTGCTGAGTGTGTTCAAGGAATGCTGAGCAGCCGGTGTGTGGCTGGAGTGGAGTGAAGGAGGGGAGAAAAGCAGGAGGTAAATCAGGAAGGCCCCAAGCCTTGAAGAACCACCGAGGGACCCTGGTTTTTACTCTAAGTGAGAGAAGAAGCAAGAGTTTTGAGCAGAATCGTGGCATGGCCTGACCTGCATTTCCTCCAGATCTGTCTGTCTGCTCTAGTGAAAATAGGCTGTAGAATGGAGTGATTATAATTTTATAAGTTGATTTGCAAAATCAATTACAGCTGAATGGTATTACATTTTGGAGGCTATTGCATATTATCTCCATGGAAATTAATAAGCCACTTCATGGTGTGCAGCACCTTCTTACATTAGTCAAGATAATATTAGGAAAATAAAACTGCCTGTAATTATGGAAAAACAGAATATGACATATCAGAATCCCATAGGGTAGTTGTAACAATTTTATTTCTGCTGCTTCTCACAATTGTTTCAGATTTTTTTTTCTAAAAATTTTTTACTCATGTGGCCTACTTTTTCGATAAAAATCTTTTAGTTTGGACAGTTATTTAGGCAGATCTGGATGGACCTGATGAAGGTCTCTTCACTCTAAGACAGTGTTTCTCAACCTTCTTTTATTTCACTACCTCCCCCCACCAAGGAGCTTTTTTAGACACTTTTCCCTAATCTCCATCCCATAAAAAATTTTTATTGATGTAAAATATACATAACATAATATCATTTTAACCATTCGTTAACTGTACAATTCATTGTCATTAAATATATTTACAACGTTGTGTAACCATCACAAGTATCTATACCCAAAATTTTTCAACCTCTCCAATATAAACTCTGTACCATTAAACGATAACTCCCTAGGGCCGGCTCCGTGGCGCACTTGGGAGAGTGCAGTGCTTGGGAGCGCAGCAGTGCTACTGCTGCGGGTTCGGATCCTATATAGGGATGGCCGGTGCGCTCACTGGCTGAGTGCGGTGCGGGTGACACCAAGCCGAGGGTTGCGATCCCCTTACCGGTCACAAAAAAAAAAAAAAAAAAAAAAAAAAAAAAAAA